CAGTCTGGAGGGGCTCATTCCCCCCTCCCACTTTGTGCTGCGCCCCAGGTGAGGCTCCCAGTGCTCCCAGTGACCTCTCAGTAACTCCCAGTGACCTCCCAGTGAACCTCCCAGTGCTCTGAGTAACCTCCCAGTAACCCCCAATAACCTCCCAGTAACCTCCCAGTAATCCCAGTTCACCCTGCCAGTGCTCCCAGTAACCCCCTGTGACCTCTCAGTAACTCCCAGTTCCCCCTCCCAGTGCTCCCAGTAACCCCAGTCCCCCTCACAGGTCCCTGGGGGCGGAGCTTGAGGCAGAAAGGGGGCGTGTCCATGAATTGGAGGTGGAGCTGAAAGCACTGAAGGGGCGGAGCCAGCACCTGGGGGCGGAGCTTGAGGCAGAAAAGAGTCGGAGCCATCGGCTGGAGGCGGAGCTTGAAGCAGAAAAGGGGCGGAGCCAACAGCTGGAGGCAGAACTTAAGACAGAAAGGGGGCGGAGCCAAGCACTGAGGGTGGAACTCGATGCCCTGAGGGGGCGTGGCCAGCGATTGGAGGCAGAGCTGGATGCAGAAAAGGGGCGGAGCCAAATCCTGGAGATGGAGCTGGAGACCCTCAGGGGGCGGGGCCTCGGTCCAGAGGGGGCGGAGCCAAGCCCAGAGCAGGTGAGGCCTCGGTGCTCCCAGTTACCCCCAGTGCTCCCAGTAACTCCCAGTGTTCCCAGTGACTCCCCGTGTTCCCAGTAACTCCCAGTTACCCCCAGTGCTCCCAGTAACTCCCAGTCTCACCTGTCCCAGGTGTTCTGGATTTGTCTCAGGGCCGGAGCCACCCTGGGAGGGACCAGGGACACTTGGGGGGACAATGGGGATATTTGGGGGCACTTGGGGACACGCCTGAACACACCTGGGGACATTGGGGACACACCTGGGGATGTTGGGGACACACCCTGAGGTGCCCCAGGTGTGTTTGGGGTGTCTCAAGTACACTGGAGGTGGTTCAGGTGGGGTTTTTGGGGTTCTCCAAGTGAGTTTGAGGTGTCTCAGGTGAGCTTGGAGTGCCCCAGGTGAGTTTTGGGTTCTCAGGTGAGTTTATGGGGTCTCTCAGGTGTGTTTGGGGTCTCTCAGGTGAGTTTCAGGTCTCTCACATGTATTTGGGATCTCAGGTGAGTTTGGGGTCTCAGGTGTGTTTGGGGGTGCCCTGGGTGTATTTGGGGTCCCAGGTGAGCTCTCTCTCTCTCCCAGGTGCTGCTGGGCCGCTGGCGCCAGAAGGTTTTCCAGCTGCTGCTGCAGGTGAGCCTGCAACGGGGCCAGGAGCTGCGGCTGCAGGGACAGGTGAGGGGACACGGGAGGGGACAGGTCAGGGGACAGGGGAGAGCACACCTGGTACCGGTGAGGGGACACAGGGACAGGTGAGAGCACACCTGAGACAGGTGGGAGGACACAGGGGACACACCTGGGACAGGGGAGGGGACACACCTGGGACAGGTGAGGGGACACAGGGACACCCCACACCTGGGGCAGGTGACACCCTGGACAGGTGAGACCCTACAGGTAGGACCAACCCCACACCTGGGGGAACCTCTGGGGTCACTTGTGTCCCTGGGTGCTGTAAGGATGTCACACCTGTGTCACATTTGTCCCCCTGTGTCCCTGTCCCAGGTGCGCTCTCTGGGTGCTGCAGTGGCCGCCGGGTCCCGCCAGGTGTCGCTGTTGGAGCTGCGGCTGCGCCGGGGGGAGCAGGAGAGACAGGTGAGGGACACCTGGGGACATTGGGGACACACCTGGGGACATACTTGGGACATTGGAGACACACCTGGGACAGGGGAGGGACACCTGGGGACACACCTGGGGACAATGGAGACGCACCTGGGACAGGGGAGGGACACCTGGGGACATTGGGGACACACCTGGAACAGGGGAGGGACACCTGGGGACACACCTGGGGACATTGGGGACACACCTGGGACAGGGGAGGGACACCTGGCGCCATTGGGCACACCTGGGGACACACCTGGGGCAGGTGAGGGGACACCTTGGGGACAGCTGGGGGGTTGGGGACACCTTGGAGCCATCTGGGGACAATGTGGGGCTGCTCCGTGTCCAGGCCCTGTCCCAGGAGCGGCTCCGGGCGGAGGCGGCCGAGGAGGAACTGGG